TTTACTAACATTGAGGGAGACCGCAACGGACATGCAACATGTACAATATAGTGACCCCAAGAAGGGTCGGGTTTCGGGTTTGACTTGCTTTATGTACTTCCTTTATTCCCACAAAATGACAAGGGCCTGTTCGAAGAAACCACACACGCATTGCCTATTCAGCAGTTTCCAACTTGATTCGGGCATATGTTTTCTAAAGCTATGGAAAAGGACAGGAACACCTTATGTGCCAGATACGAACTGCGTTTAGCATTACCGATCACGGGGCGCCAAAATTACGCATATCACTGTTGAAGAAATACCGTGTGTAAGATGTTTCGGACAATGCGAGATTGATATAAGGGACCGAATTCCCTGAGCTGGTGTTTTTTCTGTGTAAATCACTCATTTTGACAAACGGAGAATCAGGCCACTTTTAAGCAAAGCAACTGCAGTGAGAGGAGATTTTGTAGAATTTGTTGAGGGAAGGTATCAGCTAGCATTTCTATCATAAGTCAGGATTTCAACTGAGAAGTGCTTCCACTGAATTAGCATTGACATATACTTCAAAAGGAAAGAATTCAATGAAATGATGTTTATCTTGGATACTAAAACTGAAATAGCATTTTTCTCGAATTGTTTGGTGCTTATCTCTGTTTCAGGAGCAGGCCAATTGCAACAAACAATGCGTTAGGTTTATGTGGATATAGACCAGACTTGATCTTTTTCCTGATTCAAGCTCATTTAAGCTCGAATCACTTGTCACCAAACTCCTTTGGAAACACATTCCTTTTCCGAAAGAAAGACAAATCAGCAAACATAAATCGGGGAAACTCTTGGCATACCCACCCCACAAAGAGCAAGCAACAGTGGTAGCCAGCAAGGATAAGCTGAAAATCGGGGGGAAAAACACAATAAACAAATCTGGAAAGCATAATATGGCAGGGGAAGTTATTTGCATACCCCATCATCTCTGCTAGAAAATGTGTTTTTTAATTGGGTTCGAGTTCCCGATGTTGTTTTCGGTTTCTTGTGTATCAAATATGTGTTGGACTTTGTCTTAGCATGTAGCAACACGTGCCAGCGCTTGCCCATAAGATGCTTGAGCTTGCTTGGCTCGTTGGTTCGTTTGGTTGATTGGATTGGGCTTGACTTTGACTTGAATTGGATTGAATCTGATTGAATCGGATTGAATTGGATTGAATCGATAAACTAATTGATTTGATTGGTTTGATTGCGTTGGATTGAATTGATTCCATTGCTGTGATTGGGGTTGATTGATTTGAGTGATTGCTTGTTTTGATTGTTTAATTGATTTGATTTGACCTACGAGGAAATCGTGGTATCTGCTCCCACACAGCTGCACTGCGCGTTCGAATGTGCTGAGCAGATTCCTGTCAAGGGGACCTTCTTCTTGATAGAAATGGTGTCTTTTTTTTGAAGGCCGCCTGGTTTGTGGTGAAACCCACCAGGAAAACCGCCATTTTTCAGTGGGCCCAAAAAAAGAAGAGACGTCACAGCCATACCCCCAAGGCCCCCCCCCCCGAAATGGGACATGTCTTATGAGGCAATGGACCTGGCAGCGTTTGCAGCGGCTGGCGTGGGCTTCCTGCGCCTGGAGCTGGCCCCCCGATTGACGGATGATCCCCGAACTCCCGGGCTCCCGGCCTCCCACATCCCATCTTTTACCCTTTCTCCGAGAAAGGGGGGGGGTTCAACATGGTTCAACGGTTCCCCAACTAGGTACCCCAGGTCCCGTGCCCTTTCTCACCCGTTTCTTTTTTTGGGGGAGATTCGGTTCCCCTACTAAAATTGACTACAGAAAAAATCGGGTATCCTTATTCTAACCTCTTTGCTGGAGGACCTAGCCAAAAGCAGATTCGAGTTCAGAGATAGGGGAGTTCAATGGTTGGCTTGGAGCGTTCCATGGCTGGTTTGGAGCGTGAACCTTTGCAAATCAATGACCGAGATGATGGAAACGACAAGCCGCCTCTGATTTGTTGCAAGAGCTTGCAATATTTGGGGCATTTTCTCACTGGCGCGCATGATTTCGGATTTTTGAGGGGGCTGGCTATGGAATGGTGAGCACCAAGAGAAGCAGAAGTCTTAGTTCCATTCAGGATCTGGTGGTGTTCCTCTGGGTGAAGCCATGCGTTGGATGTCGCACAAAGGTGTGCTGTGGCTTTGGCAGGAAGCTTGGGCACTTCAAGCCTATCAAATACGGGGTGGATGTGCTTCCCGTCAATGAGAGCTTGGTGCTCGGTGACCTTGAGAGGAGAACCCCATGTTTTGTGCCATGGCCTCGAGCTGCGAGTCTTCTGCCTGGTGTGTCTCCCTGAAATTTCCTGCTTGGCTTGAACTGAACGCCTCTAGTGGAGCGTCGGTTGGTGTTTCCCGCGAATTTTGCGCCACTTCCTTGTTTGGGCCATCCATCCGCGTCTCCACTTTGTCCTGGTCAAAACGTAGACATTGGGCTAGCCCGTTCCACCCTCCACTTCTGAGCTTGTTTAGGCTGGGTGTCTTTCTTCCGGGCCCTCAGCCGCCGCATCCTGGCTGGAGGGGTCGAGCTTTGTCTAAGCCTCCAACAAATGAAGCCAAGGCGAGCTTTTTCTCCCATGGCACCTCTGTGGAAGACTTCTGTGCCCGCCCCACGCACCCGGGCAGGTGGACGAGCCTAGCTCCTCGGTGGGCACCTTGGTGCGGCGCTACCACGCGGCCGCGGAGGGGCGACTGGATGCGGAGAGGCGGGGCACATCAATTCCTCGCGGGGCTCGGAGAAAAGGAAGGCTTGTGGTGGTATAAACTGGTGATGTACGGGGTTTGCGCTGACCTTTGGGCATGTTTCCGGCGCTCCACATACCAAAAACGCATACAAAGCAGAAGTGCTGCCTGAGGCATGGCCTTTTTTTTGGTGTTTGTGGAATGTATTGGCCTCAGAATTTGGGTTTGACCCCCTTTCAGTTTGACACTGGATTGGTCAAGGCAATTGAACAAGCGTGGCAGGGGTTCATGATGACCACGTGTCGGACATGTTTGAGCCATCCACTTTGAAAGCATCATGTGCCTAGAATGGAGTGTTGTGACTTTCAACTCAAGTCTGAATTGCTGGCCCACGCGAGGCAGGCGTGCAATCACAACAGGCGTGCAGTTCACAAGAGTTTGAATTGTGCACCTGAAGGGACAGAAATAGGCAGAACATGGAAGACACACGGAAAGAAATTGCAGGATATCACATCGAAGCAGATGATAATTTGAAATAAATGGGAAGAAATTGGCCAGTCATAGAAAGTACATGCGCGAGACACAGAAGGCACAGAAACAAATGCAACAGAAAGAAAAAGGAAATTGGACAAGGCACGAGCTTTGCATGTCCATTACCATATTCAGGTTCCTACAATATATATATATATACACCATTGTATAGTTCCTTCCATGTTTTCAATATATGTTTTTCCCTTTATCTATATTTACGCCCATTTCGTTCCACTTATCTTCATTTGATTCCATGTTTTAAATACTGTTCATTTATTGACGTGTCTCTTCTGTTTCTTTGCGCATATGTTCGGTTCTTTTCAGTTTGTGTCCAATCCTCTTCCTCGTCTTTGCACGTCTTTTCGGTTTCCTTTCAGTCCTCGTCCGTTCCTTTCCATTTTGCTTGTATGTCTCTTCCGTTTGTCTTCAGTTCTGTTCATTTCCTTTTCGGGTCGCTTCCATTCCTCTTCTGTTTCTTTCGAAATTTATGTTCCTTGTCAGGATGTGGCCCGATTGGAGCGCACTGCCCAGACTCGACAGGTTGCAATATGTTGCAATGGCATGTCCTGTTTGGTGCCATGTTTTATGCTGTTCCTTTGGTTTGCCTGGAGTCAATATCCGGTGGGGCAACTGAATGTAAATGCCATGCCGTGAGATTCGGAAGCCTTGCAAGTGGCGTGAAGAATCCAACGTAACTTGTGAACTCAGCTCGCTCCTGCAGCTTCCCTCTAGCGGTTTGGATGCATTTTCGGGCTTGCGTGCCTTTTACAAGAACCAGGTCTCAATCCCCCACTTAAACCACCAAGGGCTCACCTCGCTCGGCTTCCAGTTCCGACTGTTGGAATAGGGAAAAATAGGGGGACAGCTTGAGAAACGCACCATGAACCGGAGAAACCCGAAAACAGCAGCTGGAAGCAGCTGCTCCCAGCCACTGGGGGCTTCAGCAGCTTGAGGCTGTGGGGCTTCGTGGCCTCTCTGAAGGACTCCAATGGCAACGCCCAGGGGGTGGGCCGCGGCAGCTTGGACGGCGCCTGGCGCCAGCGCGAAGGGCAGGAGAGCCACATGTTTGGGTCGGGCCTTAGACGGGTAGCTTGCACCAAGGATACCCAGGATACCCATTTGTTGGGCACCCCCGGGAAGTGCTTCGGCTGATGTCCGCATTCGATGACATGTGACCTTGCTAATGTGAGCCCGGAGAGCCACAGTGTTGCCTTTTCCCTTGCAAGCAACTATGGCAGCAGGCAGGTAGTTGCCGGAATTGGGCGGGAATCCTCATGGATGGTGTTGCGTCAGTTTAGCTGCTTAGTGTGGATTGACCGAAGTCCCTTATTTTGCTTGTTTGATCGCATTCTGGGGGTCAGATGTTCAAGGAAATCTGTGGCGGCATCCACCCTCCCGCCCCCCCAGAGCAACTTTGCTATTTACCAGTTGTTTGTGATAGGTTCCATGATTAAAACACCTTGATCTCGGGCTGTTTTCTGTAAAGGGCCTGGCTTACTGTTACACTCCGAACAACCAGTCGCCAGCTAATTCCGCAGGAGCTGAAGCAGACTGCTGCGGGCCGGAAACAGGGGACGGATGCCGGGGGAAGCCGGCCACGTGCGCGCGCGCGGATGGACGGGAGGGCCGATAGGGCCGATCGGGCCGATCGGGCCAGCGGAGCCAATGGCCGTCGTTTCAGCAAGGCGCGCGGAAAAGACTGCACGAGTTGACTTCTGCGCTTGCATCTCAGCCAACTTAGGGGAGGGAACCCATATGAATTGCCGCAGGAGAGATCCCTGAGCCATGCCACAGTGTGCAAGAAGACCAGGGTGCAAAGCTTAGCGTGGCTTCGTGTGTGCTGAAAAGATCAGGGACCAGTTGATAATTATTGGATGAGCATCATTTTCCCATAGCATCACGTATCGTCACGTGATCCCTGCAGCTCGGGCGCTGAGGAAAAGCTGGCAGTGGTCAAAGCGTTCCAGTCGCTCAGCTGGAAGAGTTTGGACCGGTTTTGGTGGATCAAAGTTGGAAGCAGCAATACAATAAGTCCCTTGGAAGAGATGGTTGCAGACCGCATGTGTTCGTGTTCAGGTTAGGGACCAGGTGCCTTTTTCGCGAATGAATGAACGTGTTCCATGCTGAGGCGGCCCGTGAAGGCCGAGAGCTTCGCTCTGGGTGGGAGGGGCAGGTCGGAGTCCAAGGGCGGCGGGTCGCGCGAGGCTTCGCTTTCGAGCCCAGGGAGGACGTCCTTGGGTGGGGGGAAGCCTGGAGGAGCATCCAACGAAGCTGGAAATGATAGAGGCAGCATCGCAGCTTCAAATGACCCATGCAGACAATCCAATGATTCTGGCGTAAGGGCTGCAAATGGCTTGGCAAAAGCAGCAGCAGATACTGCGACAGAAGGTGGCAGAGAGACATCGGGTGCTTTAGGATCTGTTGGAGCCGCAGGATCAGCGTCATTTGCATCAGGAAGTGGCGGAGGGGTGACTGGAGAGGCGGGAGCAGCAGAGACAACTGGAGAGACAGGAGCGACCAGAGAGGCAGGAGCGAACGGAGAGTCAGGAGCGACAGGAGGGTCAGGAGCGGCACGACACCCTGCGACAGCTGCAGCAGCGCGAGCGACTGGAGAGGCGGGAGCGACCAAAGAGGCAGGAGCGAAGGGCGAGGCAGGAGAAGCAAGAGACCCCGGAGCAGCCGCAGCAGTGGGAGCGACTGGAGCGGAAAGAGAGTTAGGAGGGCCGAGACATCCAGGAGCAGCAGGAGGAGCGACTGGAGAGGCAGGAGCACCAATAGCAGAAGGAGCTTCCGGAGAAGCAGGAGCGACGGGCGAGGCAGGAGCAACAAAACATCCAGGAGAAGCAGCTGGAATGGGACACATGGAGGGAGGAGAGGCGGGAGCGGCACGAATAGCAGAAGGCTCAGCTGCAGACCCAGCATGCCAGGCAAGGGGGACAGACATTCTGGCAGAGCCTGCGTCAGGCAGCTGCAGACCCAAGGGGGAAGATGAACGGTCCCAGCCAGCCATCGATACTCTGAAAGAGCAAGAAGGCAGCAGCTCTTCGCTGGGCAATGGTATGGCTGCCAGGCCTGCAAATGAAGCAGCCGGGTCAGCAAGTGCGATTGGCCGCGCAGCAACGGCAGACTTGAGTCCACCAGCAATGCCCGGCCCAACCAGCCCAACCGGTGATGGAGCCAACGCATTTGGTCATGGCAGGCGCCCCTCGAATGGTGAGGCTGGGAGCCCGGACATGGACAAGTCCCTGAGTGCATCGGGCAACATCGGGATTGACCTGAGCAGGCAGCGCCAGCCGAGTCTTGCTCAGGGCAGTGTGCAAGCTGCAGCCCTCCGGCGCCAAGCGAGCCCCGTTGCCCGGCGGCGCCAGAGCAGCCCTGGGCCGGCAAGTGCCAACGTCAAGGGCGTCAAGAGCGTCAAGAGCGACAAGGGCGACAAGGGCGACAAGGGCGACATGTTTAGCGACCTGCAGATCAGTGGGAGCAAAGCCCCCGACGCGGAGCTGCGGGGACCTGGCCGAGCCGCCCGCAAACGCTCTGGTAGCAAGGCGTCAGATGGAGAGATGGAGGGGGCTGGCGCGGCTGGTGGCACGGCTGGGAGAGTCCGCAGTCGGTCCCGAGGCCGCGCTCCCAGCGGGGAACGGCGTGACAGCAATGCATCGCACGCCTCCGAAGGCAGCCACTGCAGGGACGCCAACGGCGCGGGCAAGGCGAGCCCAGGTGCCGGATCCGGTGTCCAAGGCTCAGCGGCTGCACGGGCCGCAAATGGCAAAGAGGTGAAGGGTGCGAAAGGTGAAGGTGCCGGAGTAGGAAGCAGCTCAGCAGGAGAGACGGAGGATGAGATTCGACGATACAGCTGGGAGGATGAGCTGTACAAAAACTCTAGGAAGGAAGGCGATGCGGGACAGACTGGATCCACTCACGCAGGAGCCCACAGCATCGCAGCATGTTGGTTCGGTTGCCAGAAATTGGGGGCAAGGCATGGGGCCTAGAAATGCAGCAAGGGACTTGCCGCTCAGGGAAGGAGAAAAATGGAATGACCCTTAAGAACCCACCATCCAACTGGTGGGTGTGTCCCAGGGAGTCCCCAAACCCGGGGTGCGTTCGCACCAGGAGCTGAGGAGCCGGGTGCCCAGATGGCTCGCCCGAGCCGCTTGTGCCGCTTTTGCCGGCGAGCTGCAGGTGGGCCCTTCTGGGGCGTTTGTGGCCGCAGGGAGTCGGAAATTCGAGGAACACCAAAGAAGCCAATGGTTTTTGTTGTGTGTTTGTTTCGAGGTTGCCAGTCGAAGCCAGATACCTCCAAATGTGTGGCTGCCAGCTGTCCCGGAGCCATCTTATTTAAAGCGCCTCAATGAGATGATGGGGCTCACCAAGTCACTAAGGATCTTGTTTTCAACGCGGTTCAAGCAGTCCAACGTGGCCATGATTGCCTTTGTGTGTTTTGCCTGCTTGTTGATGTGCTCCATGAAAGATCCGAGGCTTGCAGAGATCGACGAGGTGGAGCTGGCAGATCTTGAAGGGGAGGCGGACAATTTGGGTGCGGTTCTTTGGGTGAAAATAAACCCTCGTATGGCTGGTTCCCTTAAAGTGGCTGCACAGTCCAGGATCTGTTTCATTCAGGGTAGGGCAAAAATGTGGCTGCATTTTGAAGGGCCTTTGGGTCCTGATGGTACCACCAGGTGGAGGGTAATAGTAATATTGAGAGCGTTGTTGAAGTCGAATGAACTTCGATTAACCGTAGAACCTTACTGTACCTTATTTGCAGGGGACACCCCTCTTTTCTGCAGTTCAGGTGCTTCCAGCAAGGCAAGCCCGCATCATGAATAGCTGGTGGGGGGGATTGATTCACCAGCGGTCAAGATGATGTGCTTCATGTTTGCTGCCGGCTTTTAAGCGACCTTTTGTCCCGTTAGCCTTGTTGCCTTTCCGTCACTTGTCCCATTCGTCAGCGCATACCATATTTTGTGCTGGACCCAAGAGGGAGGCATATAGTTTGATTTACATCCCCTGCTTTGTGTTGTAGAGCCGCAAATAGTTGAGGAATGTTCCCAAGCGTGGAACCAGACAGAGTGTCCTGCAAAAGAAGCATCACGGAACATTGTCCAAGAGCCAGTTCCATGATGTCCTCCATGAAACGGGAACCCGCCATTGTCTTCCTGAAACATCTCTTTACTGACGAGGGGCCTGCATGCGCCAGCCCTTGCACTAGGCAGTCTACCTGATTGATTGTGGCTGGTTTCTTCTGGAAGACTGAACAAACCTCGATGAAAGGTGGCCCCCTCAAGGCGAGCCCTTCGCCCCCCTGATATATGCCCCCTGATGCGCGCAGGAAGCAGTGTTTCCTTCTATGGGAGTGTTCTTTTTGCCAGGAGGGGCAATCTTGTTCTTGATTTTTGGTGTGCTGCTTCTGCTGGGTTTGGTTCTTCACATCATTTTCTTGATGGAATCCAAGAGCCCGCCAGCAGTCCCGCCAGCAGTCGTTGTTTGATTTCAGGAGGCTTCTTGTCAACATGGTTTGGATAGCCTTCACCATTCCGCTCAGGGAACGCAGGGCGAGAATCTTAGCCTTGATATCCCCTCTTTCAAAAAACGGAGCTTTTCTAGGGAGCGACCCCAGAATTTCGGGCAGGAACTTCCCCTTTGCCCACGGATGTTACGGGGGGGGGGGCAAGCAGTGCCCGCTGGCAGGTGTTGCTCGAAGAGCACACGAAGTCGCTGCGCCGGCTTTTGCTCGTGCTCCGCCTGTGGAGGGGCAGCGGCAAGGCCTCGCCCTTGCATGGATTAAAGCTCGCAAAGGATCGAAGGATCGTGGATCTCACCTCATTGTGCATGGCACCGGCACAGGCTTGTTTTCTTTTATAGCCAACGCAGTTTGACAATGTATATCATGGCGGCTGGGGAAAAGGGAGGGGAGGGGAGAGGGAGCCCAAATAAGCCCTAAATAAGGCCTTAATAAGGCCTTAATATGGGCTTATTTGGGCTCCCTCCGCCTCCCCTCCCTCCCCCCCAGCCCCCATGAGTATAGCGTCAGGCTTTTGTTTGAGGCTCCTTGTTTTGCGTTGTTCATATCAAGCAATCCCCCCTCCCACCCAGTTGGGTTGCTCACGTGCAGGCATCTAAGGACAACATAGAAGAATGCCAGCACGAGGGTGACGATGGTGACAGCGACGCTGAGGCGCGTTGTGAAGAGCCTCAACAGCTAGCTGTGCCATACCAGCCGCTTGACACTTGTCCCGAAAGCATGTTTGACATGCTTGACAAGTGAGCAGAGGCAGGCTTACAGCTTAATTCACAAAGACAGGACTCAAATCAAAGTTGTGACTCCGTATATGTGTGTGTGCGCGGTTCCCTTTTCAATGCCATCTCAATACTGACCCAGTGCGTCTTCAATAGGTTCTTGAGCCACACACACCTGCACAAATGGCACCAGCTAAAACCAATGGCATGCTTGGCCCGTTGGCCAGGTGTTTGATGACGGGGGGGGGGGCGGCTCATTGGCGATGTGCGGCCAGGGCGAAGACATGGGCGAGGCCAGCCACAGGATGCAGCGGGACACTGAATTTCACGGGGATCCCCTGCCCTTTGGTACCTTTGGAAGGTGGGGCAGGCCGTGCTCAAAGTCCACAAGCCGCATGCGTTTGAGGCTTCAGGACGTATATGAATACTTGTGAGAAACTGCTAGGCCCACTGTAAGTCCATCAGCGGAGCCTGCGCCCAATTGTTAAGCTAGCCTCATTAGCCTGTTTCCTAGGTTGCCTTGGCAAACGCTAGGAAGCTTGGCGAAAATAGCAAGCAGGCATTGCGCAACAAGATGAGTGCTGATTTCGAATTAAGTCATCACGTTCGCATCCACCGTCAGGGGCACAGCTGCATCATTGAATGCTGTCGGTTTTGCTTGGCTGAATGCCTGCCGCTGCAGCTGATACACAAGAGGGAGGGGCGGAGGGAGAGTGAAGCCAGTCGCGCAGGCAAACACGGAGACGCCTGTGAAGCAGGCGCCCAGACATCTCTAGAAAGGTTGGTTTCCACTTGGGCCCCTGTTGAACCCACATTCCCTTTGCAGACACGAGTGTGAATGCAAACCCGGGGCTGAACGAATGTCAGTGTGTTGGCACAAGGTTCAATATGCAAAAGTAATGTTCTCATTTCTTAAGTCACAGGTATTCTCAGGTCATCCAAATGCCGGCTTTCAGGAATGGCAACGGCCAATTCAAACCCAAAGGCGTGACTGCTCGACTGCAGTTGCGCCCGGCGTGACAACCTGACTGCCTTTCCATGTGCCGCACATTCGGATTTCCATTTGGAGATAGCTTGACTCAGGGGATCGAGGGTCCAACCTCACGCTTAATGAAGGAGGAATACCTGATGAGACGTTGGCAGTGCATGGATCTCCTGCCCGTCGTCACAGATTTCTGGTTCTGTTTGGTTGGGTTACCAAAACTTCCCAAGCTAGATGTGCAACCGCTGTTGGCCGAGGTTAATGCTTGAACAAGTCAATCTGAGTGTCCATCCGCACAGTTCAGTCCCCTTTCTTTGTTTAAACTTGGATTTTGCAAACTAGCTAGTCTCACTTCCTAAGTTCCTGGACGTTAAACTTTATGGGAAGACCAGTTTAGTGGCAAACAAACAAACAGTTTGGACTCTTGTTGGCCAATCCACTGAGACTGGCTGCTCATTTCCTTGGTTTCCTTAAGGGTGCAGGACATTGTCCCTGAACTGGCCTGAACCCAGGATGAAAGCAGTACACTTGAGCTGGTTCCGGCTCCTTTCCACCTTCAAACCCCGAACTAAGCTCGACTAGACACAGAAATTCCGCAAAGGCTCACATAAATTCAGCTTGCGAACAGAACGATCACGGAGCTGATGTAATTAATAGTGAGAGTGGTGAGCCAAGACGTGATTGCAGGACCTTCCATTTTTTGAAGCTGACAGAAGCCGACATGAAGTAATCATCCAGCACAGATAAAGTCGATCAATTGGAAAGGAGTTGCCAAATTCGGAGGTGACAAGACTTTGTGGTTGGCCCTCCATGCAAGATTTGAATCCCAGACCCAGGTGTTCGACGTGGTCGCTACTGTGCGGGCCGGGAGCCCAAAACATGCACGCTTATTTCCGATATGACTCGGGCATATTCAGGGGAGACATTCGGCCGCCTATCCCTGCCAAACAGATTCTTTCATTCGTTCTCAGAATCCCTTAAAAGCAGGTGTTATTCTCATCTCCATGGGAAGCAAACGTTTGGCTGGGGGCCAGTGGACAACTCTACTTGTGAATGAACATCCAGTTGATACGTTTTTGAACCTACCCGCGCAAACTTGCATGCTATTTGCGGTTGAGGCCAGCCTCACGTGTGTACCAGGAAGACCGTGCAATTAATGTTGTAGACAGCCGCGATTGAACTCTGCAACTGTACCTCCTTCAACAGGTTGATTTAGGTTGAGAGCGCACAGCAGGTGCATGGTGCTCCAAGCAGCAACTAGTCTTGGGTGTCAAGGTCCCACACAGTCCCGGAGTTGCACGCGGCTGGTGATTGTTTGCTCAGCTCAATTTTGAACCGTCCAACTTTGGTGAGTAAGATGATATAAGGAGTTGATAAGGGGCATCACAATCTTACAGACAGGCTGGGCCTTTGGATCTTTTTGGCCCGGTTTCGGGTCACCCTAGAAACGATCACCCAGATTTGTTCCCCTGGACCATGAGGCCTCTTCCTCCAGTCTGCCAGGTCCGCTCAGGCGCGAAGCTGGTGACCCAGAAGAGCTTCGAGAACCTGCTGCTCACCTTGCAGGAGGTGGACAAGGTAGTCCGGAGCTGGTGCCGTTCTTGCGTTTTTTTGATGGTATCCGCTTCAGCTCTTTAAGAGGAATCCAACAAATGAACCGGCATTCTGGGGTCCCCCTAGTTGACACATGCCCATTCTCATTCATAGGAGATCCAATATTGAGAAACCCTCGGTTGACAAGACGTGCATGCTTGTAAGGGATCTGGTTAGTTGGATGCTCGGAAGGGGCAGGGCAAGTGTTGACCCAGATAGTCCAGCCTGAGATCATGACAATTCTGACAAGGAGACGTCCAAGTACCAGCTAAATCTGAAGAGCCTCTTGCTGTGCTTTAAGGGCAGCAATAGCCCTAAACCCTAAACCCCCTTCCCCCTGCCAAACAACAAGGTCAAAACGAGGTGGAACGAGAACAGTTCCCCAAAGCAGTCTGAAGCGTAGACCTGGGCAACGCCACTTTCTATTTGTTGGGCTGATTGAGAAACACCTGGAAGCCAGATCATGGCCACTGGGCTTTTGCGCCGGTTCAGTCCCGAGTCCCGACGCCAGGCCGGAAAGCGCAAGGGTCGTCACAAGATCCCCCTGAGCAGCTTGGCACCATTTAAGCATAGGGAGGTTTTCACAATGGACCCCTTGTTGGTTGGGTGGCCACATGGAAACCAAGGATAGGGGGCCCGAGTTCAGAAACTTCCAGGGAGACCATTGTCAGGGCACCATGTTGTGAGCCGTTTCATGATGGCTCCTTCAACTAGGTTTGCCCACAAGGGGTCATGTGTCAACTATGTTTTCTTTGGGCGGAAGCCAAACAGATGTGGGCAGGGAACATACCAAAGCCCTTGACGCACTCCCATACGCAACGGGGAGCCCTTGAAAGACTACTGCCTTGTCAAAGCACCGTCCATATCACGCGCCGTATTGGTGCAAAGGAGAACACCATGCAGCTACTGCGCCCTTCCCATGAAAACAAAACACACCTTAACGGACTGGCACGATGCAGGTGAAGACTTGGAGCACCCCTAATCCTTGGACAGGGTTTTCCGCCAGCTCCGATGCGCACGGCATGATCAGCCCCGTTCCACCCTGCGCAACCTGTACTGGCCTTTTGGGGGCTGGTTGGAGACAGGCGAAAGGGCCCGCCGCGAACATGCATCCATTCCAAGCTGCTTCGGTGGAATGCGTGGCTTTTCCTGCACGCCTTTCTCCTTTCAATCTCATGTTCTGGAAGGGGACTCGCTGCCAGCTTGCTTTATCATTGGGTTCCTGCCGATGGCGGTTATGACTTGGGGGCCACCGCGCGCGACCGCGCGTAATATCTAATAACGATTATGAAGCGTGAAGCGCATTCGAAGTTGTTTTTTTTTGACATGGTTATGGCGCCTCCCAATTAGCAGTTCATAGCCGGCATGTTTCTGCAACACATCCGTCATCCAATGCGAGGTGTCGGAGAACCGACACGCAAGCAAACATGCTTATGAGCATACCCATTAATATGTTTAAAGTATAGCATATGGGGCAGAGAGGGGGAGAAAACAAAAACGCTCTTGCATCATTTCCACACACACACACACCCCATTTGCACCCCACATTCAGCAGGATGCAGGCTCCATCGCTGTTGTATCGGTTTTGGGTTGGTGCCTAGTCTACAGGTTGATGGGTACCGATGATGGTGGTCCTCCATCAGTTCATCGTGGCTATATATCGGTGTGTGCGTGCTTTACAGGCCCGCAAAAGAATATGACTCTTTTTTTGGTTTTTCGCAACGCCACACCCCCTCCCCGCCCCCTCCCCGAAAGAAAGGAAGAGAACAACAAGACAGAGAGATATGTTGCTCATCGGCAATGATCGGCACGCTGGCGGTCGAGGTCAGGTCCGCGAAGCCTTTCTGGAGCAGATCGCTTTGCAGATCTCCATGTCCAGCCGGGGACCTGGACACCGACTATGGACCCCCACGTTGCATTTGGGCTTGGCCCGGTGGGGTGGCGCAACAGGGTCCCCACAACAGATGGGCAGCCCCCATCTCCTTGTTTCGACACATTTTGAGGATGTTTCCGAATACGGAACTCGCAGGCCATGATGCGCCAGGTGCATGTTCTTTACTCGCGAACACCTGGGGGCGTCGGGAGGCAAGACCACTGGCATTTCAAATCCGGACAGTCGCATGGTTCCGCTGGGTCATGCGGTGGTGTCCCCAGCCAGAAAATCAGCGATTGGCTGGGTGGCTCAGGTCTACACAGTGTTTTCAAAAGCATGCCAGCACCTGGACAAACCACAAACATGCAAGCTGCAAGCGTAATCATCACGAGCACAAAACGGAAGCCCCCCCCACACACACACAGACACACACAAACAAACCAACAAACAGACAGACAGACAGACAAACACAAGCAAACCAACAACCAAACAATCAAGCAAACAAACAAACAAACAATCAAACAAACAAACTTAAGCAAGCAAGCAAGCCTAAAACTTGTCTTGGTACTTGTCACAAAAGCCCAAGGCAGTAAGTCACATATGCGTGCGCAAACTAAGCAAGCAAACAAGCAAACAATAAAACACTACCACTTGCCTCACTCAGAAGAGTCGAGAGTTTGTGCATGTTGTTGGCCATTTGCTGAAGCACTGGCTGCTACTGTTGGATCCAGGTTGCCTTCTTGGCCTCTCAGAGCCGAGGCCGCTACGGGCTCTCCGCTGCAGAAGCGTCCAAGGGTATGGTCTACGAGACCTTCCGCACCTGCATGCAACGCGGCTTACACATGTTCAGCCAACCACTCAAGGGCCAGGCGGTGTTCTCACAGGCTGCCGCATTTGTTCCTGCTGACTTTCGGATGCAAATGTCAAGGTGGCAAAGTGCCTGGCTGCCGGTTGATCTCTTTGGGTAAGGAGAGAATTGGGATTGAGTGGACACCTGTGTTTACAAAGCCTTCAGCTCCGGAGCAAGGCTCCCAGGTACGGGCAACAGCGACATCATAGAGCATACAGTAATCTCACTCGTGGAGCGTACATCAGATCCGTCGCTTGCTGTTGCTCATGAGAGAAGATGAGAGAAACTGATTCGCCGCTAGGCACCGCCTCTTCTACAGACCACTGGAGACTGAAGAGGAAGTGAAGCGCTTGCTTTTGAAAAACCGGGGCGCGTAGCGCACTCGCCGGGGTCAAGCAGAAAACCTCATGAGAACCTCATGAGAGCGCATGGCTTGCCTCCTTTCCCCCAACGAGTAACGTCTCAGGACCAGTCCTGAGCCAGACCCCAGCAACGCCAAAGTGCGACAGTTTTCACAGGCTCAAGGCAGGTGGAGTTTCGCCCTTCGGCGGCGACTAGTTTGAAGGCGTCCTAGACCCAAAATGGGAGGCGTAGTTGTTGTTGCGTACGCGGTCAGACGCAAACTCTGCGATTGACTAGGCCCGCAATAAAGGCCAGAAAATATGAAATAAATGGAAATTTGGAATATTATTTGGCTTGACATATTATATATATATACATGAAGAAAATAAATATGTATACATATATATAATAGAAGAAATTAAATATATTAATTGCACATATATATATATATACATACATGTATTATATTATAATATTTTGATATATATATATATAATAAATTCTAAAATAGTAATAGATATAAGAATACGTAGTGATGATGTGTATAATGATAATTAATATGTTTTATTTGTTGGTATATATTTTTTTGATTAGAAAATTGAATTTGAAAATATATTGAGTGTATTATTTTTATATATTGGTAAAATATAGATTGATATTTTTTGAAAATAATAATTGGTTACTTGAATTTTCGGAAATAATTGTTTTGTATAGATTTATTGTATATTAGCAAGATGTGTGTTTTTGGATTGGTGGATATATGGTGAGTAATAATTAATCTTATTGTTGAATGATTATTATATTTGTTAATCGATTTATTGATGAATTGATGATTTAAATAATTTTGTTTTGGGATTGAATACAAAATAATTAATAATATATTAAGGATGATAAAGAGAAGAATTATAACTAATATTTTGATTTTAAAAATAAATATTTGTATATATTATTATTTGTTTATGGTATTTTTATAATTTATTAAAATTATAATTGGATAATAATAAATATTATGGTTGTATTTATGGTATTAATGAATATATATATATATAATATTAAATAATATTATGTGGGATATTATTTTTTGGAAGTTGTGATTGCAAATGAAATTGAATATTTTGGTTAATAGGTTGTAGGTTTTGGGAGTTATGATGGATTTTTTGTGGTTGTGTGGTTTTGGAATGTTATATGTTTGTTTTGTGGTTGGGTGATTTTGTATATTTTGGAAGATTATATTGTTGGTTTTTTGGTATATATATATATATTTATATTATTGTTATTTTAATAATTTATAAAATTATTATTTTACAATTTTGGGGTGATTTGGGATGGTTTTGAGATAAGGTTCGTTAATTATGGTTTTTGATATTATAAAGATATTATGATATTGTTTGAGGATAGCATATGATGCAAATATTATAAAGAATATTATATATTATTATGGATATATTTTAAATTTATTGATTTTTTAAATTTATATATATTATTGAACAGTACAAATATATATTTTTTAAAAATAATCTTATATATTTGTATATAGGCATTTAGATAGGTAAGGCCTATAGTGTCCGGGAGAGGTTTATTGAAATTATATATAATTATTTTCGTAAAAAGATTGATTATCTATAATATAATAGGCAATGTAGCCCAAATCTTTAAATCGAGATGCTCGAGGACATTAATGATAAAACAGAGTCGGGAGATAAAATCCCGCCCTTCCACAGCCCAGCGCTATTTTAGATTGTATTAACCAAACACACAAAAAAGGCCGGGAATCTCGATCTAAAAGATTAGTTGAACATATATATTATTATTTTTTTTAAATGTTTTTTTTGGATTAAAAAATTCGGGACGATCATAAGGTAAGATGTTATGAGGATTTTATTAGGATTGTATTAGGATTTGGTATAATTTATGGGATGTTACAAACAATAAAAATATATATATATTGATGGAAATGTTAATTTAATTATTTGATATAATTGTTTTAAGCATAATTGAACATTTTGGGGTCTTAGTCCAGATAGAGTTCGGGATCATTTTAATCGTCTTAATCGTCCCGAGGCAAGGTTCCACGAGGATTCCATTAGGATTTTATTACGGTTCCATCAGGAATTTATAAAGATTTACGAAATTCTAAAATATATATAGATTAATATAATTAATTAAAATATTATTTTATAAATCGATTAATTTATATTTACAAAATATATAAAATTCAAATTATAATTTTCAATAATATATAATAAAAATATATTAAAAATCAAATATAAATAAATCTTATATATAAATATTAAAACAATATATATATATATATATTAAATTTAAACTAATAAAATTTAATTTAAAAAATATATATTTAAATAAAATCGAATTTATCAAATAAATTTTATTCTTATAATTAATTTCAAATTCATTATTATTATATCAGAAATTATATTTTCATAAACATAATTATTCATATACTAGCGGAAGCCCGCTGCTTTCCAGCCGCGTGCGAAATAAAGCCCATAGCAGAACAACAGAATCAAGGCATAAAATCGTGAAGAACCTAGACGTAAAGACGTATAACCATATGTCTATATGGCCTATAATTTCATCAATATAAAATATATTTTAAAACATCACTCCAAATCCTTTTAGATCCATTATGGATATAAGATTACAAGATAAATTTGTGTTAAACGACTAAGGTATCTCGTAATCGCATAACCAAGCAGTATAACAAAGCGCAAGCCGACGGTCTCCCTGGAATGGCACGTAACCAATGAAGAAATGTCATGGCAAGACCTAACTATACTAATGCAATATGACTATATATTATATTCATATTGTTAATTATTAACAATTATATAATTAGAATTGCTTACTATTCTGTTAGCAAAGATTTTTTGGTTACAAAAACAAGATTCATATTGAGAATCCAATTGTCAATACCGCTAAAAAAATCGGACTCTTAGATTATTCTAGAAATATAACATTATTTGTGTTGCCAAATGTTACTAAAAATACGGCATCGTACTATCTCCATCCACAGTATTTAGGATATATATCTCGGCCGAATATGTAATTAAGAGCCTTAGAGAAACAGTACGTAATATTTTCTAGCCCAGATATAGTTAGCGAGATAATTAGTAAGCCTAGACGATATCGCTCTTTCTCGAGTATCGGCAACATCTCTCGTTGTAGCGATTAGGGCGGGTGGGTAATGGACTATATGTCCATGCCCAACAATATATTTCGTCCTGCAATCAGAGACAAAAATCTAGAATACCTCCATTGCGTAAAATAGTTAGCACAATAATATATCGCCGAACAAATTTGTTTTCGGTGATATAATTACTAAAAAAATCATAAATTTGATTTAGTAATATTTTATATACCAAATTCGGGATATAAAAACAACAAATATGTTCACGACAAATCTTTTTAATATATGTGGTTTTTCGCTACGAAATCTTGCTATATAGCGTCTACTCGGGCAAAGCCAACATTGCGGAACAAAATATAAGAGTAGTAATCCTAATCGCGATCATTACGACGTGCATCTTGCAACAAAGCAAGAATCGATTAGCCGTTTATTTAGTCATTATAAATCATTATCGCATCCCGAGCTCATATTATTATCCTCTATATAGGCAAACTCGTCAAAAGCATCCAAATCTTCAGCGGCAATATTATCAAGTTCGGAGAATATTAGTGTTATTTGGCTTAGTAAACCATCGCAAACGATCGCGAGTTTTGGATTATATATCTATGGTATTATTATCTCGGAATATATTCTCCATCCAATCGTCGTTATGCATGGCAGGTGTAACACGAAGTTGGGTCTATAACAGCGCACATATCCGGGTCTCCAATAAGAGCACGCCGAATACAGCATATTTACTCAAGAACGAGCCCATCAGTGGCACGACCCCTTACGACCGATACAACAATGCAGCTAGCGCAAATACACAGCATCGCATCCGAGCTGAACCCTTGTCGTATCTTGGATACATATTGTAAAGTCGGAGCAAACGACAAACCTCGATGAATGACCTCACCGAAAATTCGCACATACATGGACCGGAAAGCTTTAACATCCCCATCTCTATCTACTAAAGTCCGGATAATCTCATGTAGAAAAGCATAATAGGCGAAAGTCTTATGCAAATCTTATATTGCAATGGCATGAGATACAAAATAGCATCTATATGGCTAGGCGTGTTTAACTACTATCGGATATATTCGAATATTGCCGGAAATAACAAATCCATTAACGATTCAAAATCTTGGAAATCCGAAATTTGTAAAGAGTGTTGCTATAAGATTTCTATGAATCGATTATATATCATTTTATACGGTCTTCTATTCCACCTCTTAGCGAGATTCGCAAAACCCAACATGGACCGCGTAAGTAGACCTCCCAAAAAATCTCCTTCATAGACATATTCATTCCACATCAGACCATGCCAATGCGGATTCGATCAATCTGAGGGCCAAGCCGAAATCGACCAGCTTCACCGTCTCGCCATTAACCTAAATCTTATCACTTAGGTGCCTTTTTATAACACCCTTTTTAGGGCTAAATTAAAAAAAAAAAGAATCTCGGCAAAAAAACAACAAACAATTTCCTCCAAAATCTTTAAGTCAAAACAGACCCATACAAATTGTTGGTCTTCATTTAATATATATATTAACAATCTCTATCGGCAAATTATTCAGACTCACAACGATCCAGCCTATATAATCTAAAGCATAATCTGGCTATAACAGGGAATCCAGGAATCGAACCGAGATTCATGGAACCAAACCCTACGAACCGAATCGGTCTGCGAATCGTTATTTTCATAAGCCGAACCGAACCAAACCGTCCAGAGGAAAAACACCCGAATCGTGGAGTTCAACGGCACAGCTCGTTCAATTTGCCCTTGCTCAACCAACATATTGGGGGAAGGTATCTAATGGCGAGACTAAACTAATGAGACTAGAGGTGAAGTTGGGCGTATAATTACTAATACAGTGGCGATGCTGGCAAAGCTCGAGGTGAGGTTAATGAGGTTGGAAACATAAAGGTAATTGGTGAGGCTAAAAGTGAGGTTAGAGATAAAATTGGAGGTGAGGCTAGTGAGGCTAATGAGGCTAGTGAGGCTAGTGAGGCTAGTGAGGCTAGTGAGGCTAGTGAGGCTAGTGAGGCTAGTGAGGCTAGTGAGGTTAGTGAGGCTAGTGAGGCTAATGAGGCTAGTGAGGCCAGTGAGGCTAGTGAGGCTAGTAAGGCTAGTGAGGCTAGTGAAGCTAGTGAGGTTAATGAGATTAGTAAGGCTAGTGAGGCTAGTGAGGCTAGTAAGGCTAGTGCGGTTAGTGAGACTAATGAGGCTAGTAAGACTAATAAGGCTAATAAAATTAGAAGAAATTACAAATAACTAATTAGAGGTAAAAATCGTAAGAGTAAAAGTGCAGCTAAAGGTGAAACTAGAGGTGAAATTAATAAGGCTAAAAATCAAGTTAAAAAGGATATTAATAAAAATAAAAAAGAAATAAATAAGACTAAACATATAATTAAAACTAAAGCTAACAAACAACAAAAAATAAAAATATACAAATAATTAATATAATATAAACAAATAAAATATATATCCTAATTCTTTATCTAAAGAATATAATAGTTTCGTTCAAAGCCCGAACCTTATTTCGAGAAAAAAATATATAAAATATCTATATTATATCTATATTTAAATTAACTTTCTTTATATCAAATATGTATTTCCCAAATATCAATTTATTCCCTTCAATATTCCAATTCAATTTATTTCATATCAATTATTAATTATATTTTTTTAAAAATATTATATTATAAATTCAATTATAAATAATTTAAGATTTAAATTTCAAAAAAAAAAAAATGATTATCCAATAATATGTTGGAAACAAAAATAGTGTTGTTAAAATTGTTCAGATATTGTTTCCTTAAATTATTTCCCAACAATTCATAATGTTGGGATCTCAGCCTGGGGAATTGTAAGCTTTTATAATTCCCGTTTTTGTATATTGAGTACATGAAATGACTACCTTTCATGTTGGGCAATTTTCCCATTAGCTTCTCTCCTCTGGCGTTGGCGAGGCTTTGGCCATGATTTGGCATCAGGTGGCGCAAACGCGCACCATGGTGCCGTCACCGCCCATAGCCACAACCTGGCAAGCTTCTGGCCATCGTTCTAGGGGTTGATGCCCCGTTCTTTTCAACCATCGTTCTTTTCAAACATTAGCTGTTTCTGCAGGGTTTTGGGTGGTTTTTTGGAAAGAAATAATTCTTGTGATTGGTGGCTCTTGCTTCAAGTCTTGGGCCGCGACTGGGTTCATCGCGCCATGCACCAGCGGGATGTCCTTCCAAGGAGTGAGCAAACATGGTTGTTGGTCAAAAATAGGTACCCCAAATGGAACCCTGGTAAATGGAAACATGGACTAAAATCTGCGGTCTCCTGGTGGCTTCATTTTGACCCATCCCCACATTGCTGAAGCTGTACGGAAGATCTTGCTATCGATGCAAGCAAGCAAGCACGCGGCCAAGGCCATGCAGCCATGCGCTGCAGCAAATTCCAGGCAAACTTCAGGCATGCCATTCTCATCAAACCATCCTCCACGGCAACAGGCGCTAGCAGGGGGCAAAATCCTGTAAATCTGCCTCTTCCCAAAACCTGCCCCCCACCGCTACCTTCCCGAGAGTCTGCTTCTGCTTTCTGTAAGAAAGCGGCAGCCCAAGTCCTCGAAAACGACCTCGAATGGCCCCTCGTTGATGGCCTCAGCTGCGCGCTGTGCGAGGCTCGGCCGGCATTCGCTTGTTGCGCTCACGGCCATGCCGGGCAAACCAGAAAATTCTCAAACTTCGCTGGTATCTGGAGAAAGTAGCATGACCGTGACACATTTCTGCAATTGCAGCTCAAGAATGACCATTGCAGAACCGAGAACATGGTTCCGATGCCCAGCGGCGAAAGAAAAGCGACCCAAAGGCACCTGTAAACCGCGGAAGTCGGCCTGGACGCAGCAATGCACGAACCAATTGGTTAGAAGAAGTGGCGTGCTGGCGAACGCAGTTCTGCCTCCCCTAGTTTGGAGTTTCAATTGAGGCCCTGATTCACAGAGTTGGCTTGCCATTGCTGATCAAACTTTCAAGCCTTTCCATCAAAACGTCTGTTGACAAAAGCTGAGGGACAAAAGCTCTTGCGGAACATGGGCTGCTTTGCATCCACGAAGTGCTGTACATATGGCAGTGGGTCAAAACCAATGGTCTCATTGTGGGGTAGGTGCACCACCCATTTTAGTCTATTTTAAGTGGTTGGATTGGGATGTTCACTGGGGGTATTTGGATTTTGACCCATGGCCATATCTGCGAGCAACCAAAGGCAGGTTGCAACCTGTCGGCCTCGCAGTGGATGAAGTCCCCTTCGCTGATGCAAACATCTCCCCCAGGCCGCGAGATCCACGGCCCGTCATCCCGCGACCTGCAATGAGGGTAGTCATTTCCACCGTCTGTGGGTTCAAACTTGTTCAGGCTGAGGTTGCGACAGGTTTGGTGGGTGGCTTCAGGGTGGATCAGGCTAGGTTTAGGGCGTGATTCAGTGCGTAAGTGGTGATCGAGACTGGCTTGGATGATTGTGTGTGTGTGGGACCTTTGACACCTCCTGTACATGTGTTTTTGCTTTTTGCGAGGCCTCGAAACCCAGACAAAAAACACATTTCACCTTTTGTGGGAAAGGACACACACACACACACACACACCAGGCCATCCGACCGTTGCCATTAGCATTCCTCGCGCAACGAGATCGCCCGGCCTGCTGCAGCGGGAGGTGTTCACGAGGCGCCAGGGCCGTGCCTCAAAGCCATCCGTCGGCGAAGTGACGAAGTTGCGATCAATCTCAGCAGGGATCCTTACATTATACACCTGAACATTGCCTTGTAAATGGTTGTTTCCCTTTATGTTGGTGGAAAGAGCCACATGTTTCAAATTGGCAAAAAGTAGATCTTTTGAGGAGCCCTGCTCAGGTCTCTGGCTTTCCGAGGACCTAGTCTTGAGAGGGTTACTTGAGTTGAAAGCCCTCGGGTTGTAAAAACAAAGGGAGAAGCAATAGGATTTTAGGGGTCCACACCCGGGCAAACATCAACCTAAAGATTGCCAAAAATGCGCCCCCCCCTCCCTGCTTTTGTACAAAGCAAGAAGAACCCTCCTCCCCTGAACCAAGCAGGTTGGAGAATATGGCCACCCCCTCAAGTCAATAGTTTATTCAATTGGCCACATTGAGATATGGGTATGGGTCGGCAACACCGCAGGTTTTAGTGTTGGGTTCCATTTGCCAGGGTTCCATTTGGCTACATAATTTTGACCCACAGCCATATACACATCAACAAGACTTTGCCATTTGCAAAGTTGGGTACTGGGGCCTCCGCGTGGCCCAAGCCATGGATGCCAAAGTGGACCTGCCCAGCGGCAAAAACGGCGCTGAGCCACTTCTCCTTGATCGGTTGCCCACGAAGCCAGTAAAACTTGAGGGCTCAATTCTTTCCGTCAGGCCCACTGCCCTTGATGCACCTCCAGCTGGACAAACAAGGGCAACATTCTTTCTACCAGAGCGCGCCTGACTTATTCATGCAACCCCTCCCCCCCCCCCGGATCCCCTCCAAACAAAGGCAAACGGCGCTGCGCCGAGTTGAAGCTGTGCGCAAGGGTGCGCCTGCGGGCGGTCTTCGCACTGGCGGACCTGGGCAGTTGCGAAATTACATTTGGCTAAGCGCGTGAATCGTGGAAACTTTTTGAACTCGAGCAACTACGAAAAGTGACCAAAGTGCAAAGTGGCGAGAGCCTTTGCACTTGGATCATGCTCAACCCAAATAAACTGACACACATCTGTTCATAAGTCAAGACAAGGATACGTACTGCCATCGAACGACACAAACGGTGAAAAACAACTAGAAAGTGTCGTTGAGCAGGAGGCGGCAACTGTGCATCTTGCAAAGCCAGCTGAACTTGCGAGTTCCGATTTGCCATCGGCTACATTGTTACATTGCATGATGTCAATGCTGCCAACGGCACGGTGACGTCAACATCTTCCCGCATTCCGGAAGAGAAGAGCGGAAAAAAAGGCCATGGGTCAAAATCCCGTATCTCCAGTACTGTAAACATCCCAATCCCCACTAAAATAGACTAAAATGGGCGGTGCACCTACCCCAAATTGGTACCATTGGTTTTGACCCACAGCCAAATGACTTCTACACATCTACAAGAGCTACTGCTACGACTGGTGCCACGGCAAGGCACTGTGGCTAAGCCCCGCACAACCTGCAGCGTCCACAAGTATAGGCCGCCCTTGTCCTAGAGCCGCGTGCGGGGCAAAGCGGCGAAACCAGAAGCAACAAATGGGGGCAACGAGGCAAATTCAAACCCCGCAAAATAGCAACCGCATGGCGCATACATATATACACATGCACCCCCTACCCCACCCACCCACACACACAAGTTATATGTGTGGTTGTTTTCATGTTTAACTTTTCTGAGGAACAGAACAAAGTGTAGCTACCAAATGTTAGAACATGTTACATTTGGCTGTTTTGGTTTTGCTTATCATGGGTCCAAACTTTATGTTCTTATACATTGTTACTTTCTCACTGCAATCGTACACAGTCAACCGTTTTGTTCGTTTGTTTCAGGCTGTTTCGCTCTTTGGGCCAACCTGTTGTTACGCTTTTACACTCCCACAAACAAAGCAAACTGCAAAACACAAAGTGAAACTGTTTTCAAATGTTCAGGCTGTTTTACGGTTTTACTTCTTACTTTTCATGGGTCCAAAATTGCACTGTTTTACTTTTCCCAGTAAAAGTAAAAGTGTAAAACTCTCAGTAGCACACGGAGTTTTACTTTGAATGTGTTTCTCCGCTTTGCTCTTTCCGGGTCCAAACTTCTTGTTGTTGTTGTCTTTTTTCCCCGTTACTTTTTACTGCGGGAACTACAAGCGTTAAACTGCCATCAGCACAATACGTATAAGTGTTACTGTTTGCAGTTTTCACATTTTTTGCTTACCGGTTACGGGCGCTACGTGGCGGAAGACTAGGGAGGGACCATATGTATATTCCCACACTTCCTACATATGTACATGAAACTGTGTGTACTGTGTATGTATATCTATACAGATGTATCTTTGTACGGAAACAGCCGCTCTACTCAAAATGCATCCCGTGCCTCTTTCAATGGAGAGTAGCGGCGCATCGAAGAGTATGCCCCAACTCTATAGACAAACAAAGGCCTTCTTGAACGAGGGCCTGGGCTCTTTTCTGTGAAGTTGACCACTCGGCCACCAGGCCAAGCGCAAGGAGCCAGCAATCGGCAGCGCGCTGCTGCTGTCCTGCAAACGGCACAGCACGTGAGCCAAACGACGCGAGCCCTTGTCACCGTGCCGGGGTCAGAATCCCTGCCCTTTGGGCAGGCCAGGAAGCCTTGAGTTGCACCATTCACATGGCAAGGCCAAGCAATTTGGCGGAACTGAAGCCAGAAATGCGACTTCCATGATGGCAAAGCAATCCCCAGTCAAGGAGCAGCCCCAGTGAAGGGGAGCAATGGTGCAGTGCATTTTCTAGTTGCAAGCCCAAATTGCAAATTGAGACTCCTCTCCCCTCACAATGCGTGGCAGGAACCCCGTCTTTTGTCTACAAACGTCGTTGCGCATTCTTGTCTTCACTGGCGTTTCATGCCAGGGTGTTTGTAACAGCTTCTCCTCTTTGGCAGCACGGCCTCCGACAACTCGGGGGTGCCTCTTCCCCCACCAAAAAGTTAGACACCTCCCAAAACCATGGCACCAGGCTCCTGGTAGTTGCCAGTCTTCGTGGCTAGTTCTCCGCATGCGCCCGAGACCTGCCATGGCAAGGATCAATCTGCGCTGCTTGCAGCCGCCTCAAGTGAGAGAAAAGAGAAATCAAGGCATCCAGTCACCAGCCAAAGCTTGAAGATACTATGGATGGACAAAATCCTGCATCATTTTGAAACCATGGGAAATCATTGTTTGTTGGTATTTACAGGGACCGTCATTCTAGGGGTTCTGAACGGTGGTGCGAAACGGATTTCGTCCATCCACAGCATGAGCAATGCTCTGCTTGGGGCGCCTCTGAGGCCTGGAAGGCTCAGTGTCCCGCCTCGAACTCGGTGATGGAGTCCACGGATGGAATCTGAGGGATTCGAAGGGCATGTGTCTCATAAGTGTCCTTTTAGGGGAAATCGATGGCCCTGCTGGATGATTAAAACCACCAGGTAAACCAGGAATCGTCATCTATTTTTCGAGCAAAACAACGAAAAAGGACACCTATGGCATGTGTGCAGCAGATTATATGCCATGAATGTCTTTTCTGGCTGTGCTCACTCAAAGAACCAAAGCCATGCAGGGAACTTCTTGAAGGGTCCCATCAGTTTCATGCTTGCAAGTTGGACCACGTCCACATCCACTTGTGCCATACCGCATGGGCTTTGGCTTTGCATGGCTTTGCCTCATTCGGTGCTTCCCAATGCTCGGTAAAGCCTTCTGGCTTGCAGCAACCCGCTTTTGGGTCATACAACCTGCCTGTGCGCAGCCATCGTGAGAAACGCCATCACTCCTTGTACCACATATTCTTTGCTAAAGTAATTACCACCCGTGTCTTTTGCAACAGGGCCACCCAGCGCATGCTGCCAGTTTCAGGCCTCACATCCCTAACCTTGCTCAGGCCAGGGCCCAGTAGAAGGGCGGCAGGCCCTGCGGCCGCCGGGAAGCGGCCCTGCCCTGATGCGAAGAGACTCGCGGGAAAACTCGTTTGCTTTCCGCTGCAATCCCAACGACTTGATCCAACGGGGTCGAGATTTAATTTAAAGAAAACAAATCCTGAACAAAATGGCCCTCCCAAATCAACCCAAAACCTGAATTAAGTTCAGGGATCCCCAAGCAAAACGATCTTTATCCTGGTGAGCTCGCTATACCGCTCGCTATAAAATAGGCAAATCAACCCAGTTTGTTGCAAAGGGGCTGATCTTGAAGGAACACCCGCCTTGCTTGTCTGTCTCTGTCTGTCTGTGCGAGAGTACACAGGGACACCGGCCTTTCGTCTCTCGCTTGCAGCTTCTTACTTCAGTGCTTGCAAATGAAGCTGACTAGGAAGCCAGCCTGCGAAATGGCCTCGCGCCAGGAGCAGAGGCAAAATGGTCACCTCTTTCCAAACTGGTCACGCCTGAGATTCAAAGTTTTGACCGCAAGGGTTCCAGAATTTTCAGCTGCCGCAAAGGCTGAAACACATGCCTTGGAAGAAGCATACTTGAGCGGCGAATATGCGTCAACAAATCGAATGAATTCATTGAGGGAGCATGCTTCCTCCATAAAGCATTGCTTATAATATGCCAGCTCTTACTCGTTTCAAGCCACCGTTGTCCCCCCCAGGGCGTTCGCAAGGAAGCTATTAAGTAAATAAATATATATATATGTACAGTATTATATATTTAAGTAGGCTATGTTGCACAGAAGTAATATCATGACCCACATGCATCAACCATCAGGACCGATGTGTTCAACATCTCGCCTGCTTTGACAAGGACGTGCTCGCAGGACGGGCTACATCCGATGCCGGCAGGATGGCCTCGCTCTCCTTCCTCTGCATCCTGGTGCGGTGAGGTTCGCTTCGTGCGATGTGAGCTGCAAATGGGTATGAGTCAAAATTAAACCATCAGGTTTTAGTCTATGTTTCCGTTTCCCAGGGTTCTATTGTGGGTACCTATTTTTGACCCATACCTAAATGACCCAGGACTATCTGCCACACAAGCGCTGAAGCGCAGCTTTTTCCAAGAAGCTCACGTGCAGAAAGGCGAATCTAACTCAGTCCGTCACACTTCCGCACCTCAGCTGCAGGCAGACGCAGCTATGACCTTCCGCCCTTGCTCTTCAAAATTTTCTGCCGAGCAAGTGCTGATGTGTACAAGGCAAACTGTGCAGCCGTTACATCCGCAATGTCCTTGGATGAGCAAATTTAAGGTTGGCGCTAACCAGGAATCCATCGCAAGGTGCAAGCAAACAAACAAGCCCGTGCCCTGGGGGAAAAACATGGCCAGGTGAAGCAAAGTTCATGATGATCAATATAGCTTCTCACCTCGATCGCTGCATCGAAGCCAGCTAAAGCGGCAGTCCTGAGTAGCCCGGCTGATTTCGATTCAAGGCTGAAGCTCGCAGCGAGAATTTTAAATGCGGACAAAACACGTTTTTTGCACTGTTGTAAGAGGGGCTTCCTGGAAACGACTCCCAAGATGCGGGTCCTTTACTATTTTACTTGATGCGTAGCCACATATTTGTTTTATGCGCGCATGTGCGTGTGTGTGTGTGTGGATCGAATGTGCCTCAGGCAAAGACACAAACAACTGCCGAGCTTCAGCGTCTTCATACCCTGACCGCGATGGCGGATGCAGTGAACACCCAGCCACATGGCCTTCTCTTCTGCCAGCGCCTGTGCGGGAGCGGCCAGGCAGCGATTTTTCGTGCTCTTTCTTGTTGATTTGCTTCTTGGCCTACCCTTGCTCTCTGCCATTCCCTCTGCTTTACAGTCTGCCTCCGCAGATTCCCGCTCTGTTTGCAGTCAGACCTTGTTTGCCATGATTGACGTGTCCCCCATGCCAAGCCGAACGCAAGTCACAGATTGCTGCTCTGGCGACTTGTTGTTTTCCGCATGCACAAACCCAAATTGGGGAATCGCCCAATCCTCGTCGATTTTGACAGACCCGTGGCTGCCTTTGGCAAAACATATCTGCCCAGGCGCCTTCAGCTCTGGATCCTGGCGGGGGACCTTTCACTTTCGTCCCAGGACAAAAAGACTTGTGTTGGGCCTTCATGCATTGGGTAACCCCCGTCATGCGTTCCATGCACTGGGGCAACCATCTGAGCAGTCTGCGAAGTTTAGTCAAGTATATAGTGGAACCCGCTTGCCGAAGTAAGAAGGCCATAAGAAACCATGCATGGTGTCAGGATGTTGTACCCACCATCTCAACAAGGGGGGGAACCTCTCCCCCAAACAAATCTGAAGAGCAGTTAACCTTCAATTGCAGCCCATCTGGCAAACACACTGACCGTCTTTGCCCACTTCTCCGGTTGCAAACTGCCCAGCCCAAAGCAACCAAGCAGGTAGCTCAGAACCCAGGTGCCCCACTCAAGTTCACCAAGCCCAAAACGCGAACAGAGTGCCCCGGCTCGCCATGGTCTCCTCCAGGCGCAAGGACCGCTCGAAGGCAAGGCCCAGCGCGGTGCGCACCACCTCGCAGCCCAGAAACCCCAGCGCCTCCTGCTCGATGCACCTCAGTCGGCTGGCACCACTTGGCACGTTGCTCGGTGTCCAGCGCGAAGCCGTGTTTGTTGCCGGGATTTGGGGCTCAAACCTGCCAAGGGCCCTGCTTTGAGATCTTTCGGCGTTCCGGTGACGCGCTGTATTGTTCTGTCCGCAACAAACAGTATGGGGGCTGGCCGCAAGCAATGCTCGTGCTTAGTTCGTATGGATGTTGCATCTGAAGCTTCTCCCAGCTGATAAAAGAACCGTCGTACTTTACTCTCATCTACTTGCTGGTCTGTGTCCGTGTCAATGGAACTGAAGATCTCCCACATTTTCAAGAGCCGCTTTTTGGGGATCTTCTTCAGGATCCCCAGTCCCTCCAAGTCACCTGGGTTCGTGTAGTGAAGATCCGGTTTGGTGACACGTTCGGGTAAACAGCGCGAAAGACAGCCACACGATCCGTGAGATCCTTGGCTCTCTGTTGCCACTTTTTCCTTGCCTTCTTCAAGATCTTCCAATGCCTCCTGCGACGCTGCCGCTGAGCAGACTTTGGTGAAAACGCCCGCTTCATCGTTTTTGATGAGTAAATCTATATGATCTTCAGGCGCTTCATGGGCAAAGGCTTCAACATCATGGTCTGACTTCTTCTTCTGAGGTCTTCCTTTCTCCTTCGCCTTCGCCATGGCGCCAGCCAACACTGGCACCTTCTGACTACAATCCGTACTGTGAAGCAAACCTGCGGCGTCACATCAGGATTTTCAAGCGGACATGCCGCGGAAATGCACGAAAGACGTCAGAAAGAAGGAAGTGAAAAGGAAGCTGGCCCTGCGACTCCCGTCAAACACGCTGCAACTCTACAGGAATATGCGTCTCAATCGTGCTGCCACCTGCCAAAAAGAGACTTTGGGCTTGGCCCATGCCCCTCTCCAATGCAGTCACTTCGAAGAGAAAATGCAACAATGCCATTTCTTGGAGACTTGGAGACGCTACCAAATGCCAAAATCCATGTGCGGCCGAGAAGCTGTATCAAGTCAGCTGCGATGCCCGCGGCCTGGTGAAGCAACAGGACTGAAGGATGGATGGCCCGCGAGTGAGTCATGTATCATGCACATGCCAGCTGCCAATATGTCTTGGGCAAAACCATCAAACAATCCCAAGCCCCATATTTTGCTTGACAGCATTGATGCTCCCCCCTCATCCGGCAACTGACACATACACCCACTTCCTTTGCGATGCTTGCCACTTCGCGAAGCGGCCTGCATGTCGGCCGCGTAGGCGGACCAAATCGCCTCCGCTGCCCTCACCATGTCACAGCTGCAGCTGTTGCCCTGTGCTTTGTGGAAGCCTCAGCTTGGCGAGGTGGACAAAACGGTGGCAGCATTTTCGACGGCAACCACTTGAGGACCCTGATGCAACCTTGTAAGATGATACAAGTCACCCACAGTCCTTGGGCAAATCATGAATTGATATGTCCTGCCAAAACTTCAGGCAACACATTCAACACATGCAGCTTACTACAGCACGGCTGGCTTGCCAATCGGCGTTACTCCTTGCTCAGCTCCCAAAAGCGTCAACATCCAGCACTCGCAAGGTACACAATGAGTACTGCAAGGGTTCGAATCCTGACTCGTTGGTTGTGCAAAGCTATGCTTTGGCCATGAGCATGCTGGACCTGTATGAAGCCCTTCGCTCGTCAAACTCAGCCTTCGCGATTTTTGAGGAGGCCTTACTGCCTGCAACTCGAAGGCTGGATCAATCAACGGGCCAAGAAACAATAGGCCATGACGTAGGTGGACATCAAAGATCCTACATCCAGACCAGGCGGTCCAAAGACCGCGAACTCGGGGTCAATGATCTTCACCTGTCAGTTGAGTTGCATCTTACCCTGGCAGTCTGTATATCCAAGCCACCGAAAAGCAAAAGGGATGGGTAACTAAAGCAACAATTGTCCCCCTCCGCGAATTTCATGCATGACAAAAAGGGATGTAAGCCACATGCTTGTGGATGCCAATGTCACTTGGGTGTTGTCGAAGATTCAACCTATGAATCGCTGGCTCTCCTGCGAACTTGAGACTATAAAAGGCACAGCTTGGAGCTTAGACAAGGGTAGCAGCGAAT